CCCCAAAACCCCAAAACCCCAAAACCCCATATTAAATCTAAAATATTGTAATTTTATACCATAACTATAAAAATGAGTAATACTCTGTTGAACGAATGAAAGTAAGACTTAATGACTCGATTCTCTAAATTTTCTGCATATTTTAGCCTTAGATAATAGATAGAACTTCATCATGCTATAAAAGCTTTACTTTACCTCGAATTTGAAGACAAGTTATGAAAGGATGCTGACAATTTGAATAATTTTCATAAATTTATAGACAATGAAAAATGAAATTTGAGACTAATGAGCAGCTTGCTAATCATGTCAAAAAGTTTTGTCAAAACAGTGACTACTCAAATGTCAATAAAATTGAGGATAAACTCTAAAATCATTGAATAAAGGAAGACATACCCAATCAATGGGAAATATCAACTTTGATGATGTCAAGAAGGGGCTTAAGAATGGCCAATTGAGGGGGAATAATTTAGAAGACCTCCGAGGTCAATTTGAGGCAGATAGACTTAGATTTAATGACATTAAAAAGCATGCTTTACGGAGTAAGGAAAAAGAGAAAATAGATGAACTACACCAACTTAAGAGGGATAGAGAAATGCTATATCATAAAAAGATCAATGTAAGTTTCTACAACAACTATTTTAAGAGCATGCCTTACCCAATAATCTAGGATGAACAAGTCATGGTTGATCTTCTGAATGAGCTCAAGAGCAGGAAAGATAGAGATATCAGAGCAAGACTAGAACAGCAAGATATACAGAAAGCTCTTAAAGAAATAGAGAGGGACAAAGCTTCGGCACTTGAAAGAGATAAAAGAAGAGAACTTGAAAGAATCGCTGCTGAAAGAGAGAATCTTCGCTTAAGAGAAGAATCAACCATGGATGAGATCAGGAATCTAGAAGAGAAAATGTACGAAGAAGAGAAGAAGCTTCAAGAGCAAAAGAATAGACTTCAAAACAAAGTTGATAAGTCTGAATATATTCAAAATGTAAGGAAATAAAGAAATCGATCTTGCAAAAAGCAGAGGAGAAGAACTTGCGAGACTCAAGCATAAGAAAGAATTACTTGAAGATGACAGACAAAGAATAATGGAAGATCTTGAGAAAGCCAAAAATGGGGATCCCTCTATATTAAGGAAAAATGAAGCTTCAAGATGGGTTGCTAATGACATTCTATCTCAAGGAAAATTAGACTTTAAAAATCTTCAGCTTAATGAAAGTATGAAGAATAAACTTGTTTCTGGCCAAGCAAAGATTAATAAACTCAAAGCTGAAAAGGCGAAGATTGAAAAAGAAGCCTTTCCAATGATAGATGAGCTTGATGTTCTTGAAAAGCAATATGAGGATAAAGCTTTCCATCAAAAAGCCCAATATGTTGCCGATGATATCGAAATGCGAAACATGAAGCCAGAGTTTAAATCAGAGCAAATGCAACTTATGAGAAAGCATTTAGAGAAGAATGGTGGGCCAGAAAATTATAATGCACCTGGAACTCGAGCAGATATCCAAAATAAAGTACAACAAATGAAGGATGAATATTTGAATAATGATGCTGTTGATCCTGTTATTGCTAATAGAATTGAAAAATTACAGAATTCTATTGCAGTTGCTAAACCTCCTCAAGTAGCTCCTGCCGCAGGTCTCCCTCCTCTTGCTCCTTCGTTTATTCCTGGAGGAGTTCCTCCACTTCCTTTACCTGGAGGAATAGCTCCACCTGGGCCTTTGCCAGGAGGAATAGTCCCACCAGGTCCATTTCCTTTTGGAGGAGTGCCTCCTTTAGCAGGTGGTCCTTTCGCAGGAGGTCATCCTCTCGGCCCAGATGCAAATCCAAATATGAATTATTTGAAATCAGAAATTGATAAGCAAATAGAAAACAATAAGAGACTCGACGAAAAGTTATCTTCCAGCAAAGGTACTAAACCCTTTTAATATTTAGGTGGAAATGGAGGATTTAATAACATCGCTGAAAGAGCAGAAGATGATATTGAGAAATTAAGGCAACAACTTCTTCCAAATGGATTTGGGGGAGCTACAGGAGGGGTTCTCCCTGAAGATTTTGTGTTCAGGCAAAATGATTACAAGTCAGAAGATCTTGAAGTTGAAGAAAGAGCCTTACTTGGCTTATTCTATGAAGAATATGATCAGCTCAGAGTTCTCTCTAAACTAGGAGTAAATTCTGAGCTTTACAGATTTAAAATGGATCAGTACAAAGAAGAAAGTACTATTAGAGGGGAAATAGAAAAAGTTCTTCAAGAACAAAGACTTGACAAGATTAGGAGAGATTTTGAAAAGCAGAAATATGAAGACGAAAGAAAATATAATCATGAGAGATGGCTAGAGGATCAAAAGAGAGAAATCTTAGCAGCTAAACTTAGAAATAATGCAACAAATGCTGGAAATCAGAGAGGAATGGCTCGAGCTAATTCTCAACCAGATTTAGGCAGATTTAATCAGCCAAGATCTCAGCATGGAATTACAGCTCATCCTCAACCTCAGACATCAAGATATGAAAATCCAGCAACAAGAAACAGTCATGCGAATGGATTTCTAAATGGGAATATGACCGCTCAAAGCTTTTAATAGTCAGGGACGTCCAGATTATGACAACAGAATGCCTCTCAGTACCAGAAATAGGGCACCAGAATTTGTAAATTTTGCACCTCCAAGAACAGCAATGGATGATGGAATCCCAGACACTGTTGTTAGAGATAATACTAAAGGACTTACTAATAAAACTGTTGATGGATATAATCCAAAAGATGGTGTAGGAGTGCACTTTGATTTTGTAGCATCACTTGATAGGAAATATAGAGATGTAAGATTAGTCTATGGTATCTTCAATTACACAAAAGTTGTCGTATCAAACCGAGAAGTAGGAATAATGCAAAGCGAACCAGATCCTACCGATATGTCAAGAAATAGAATCAATTTCAACAAAAAGCATATCTTAAAAGGAGTAAAGCCACATGCAGGAAATAATCTTATTATGGAATTCCAGGTCAAAAGAAAAGATACTCAACCTGATGAGACTAGGTTTGCATCTATTGGGTGGACATTAATGAATCTCTTTGACGCAAATTATGAATTAAATACAGGTCAATTTCAATGTCCTCTTTATCAAACTCCTACCCAGCCAGATCTAGATATCAGAGATATCCCAAAGCTTAAGAAAATACCAAAATCTATGTTTTGCTTCAGAGTAGCTATTCCTAATGATCCTTTGGCTAAAATAAAGATTCTTCCAGATACTCATCCTGGAAATTATGCAGTTCCTCGAATTCACACTGAAATTCTTGATAAGCAAGCTCATATGAATCGTAAAAGGGAGATGCAATTAACAATGGAAAATGCTCCTCTTCAGAATCCTACAGAAGAAAATAAAAGAGATAGGGAAGCTTATGAGTGCAGTGGAATAAACATCTTTGTTCATTATATCAAAAATTATGAACCTAACTGCCTCTTAAGAATAAAATGCACTCTTTATGAAGGACCCCAACTTCTTAGAGACAATGATGGCCATGCATGACAATTTGCCACTCGAGTAGTTCATCCAGAAGAAGCAATTACAGCTAACCAAGAAAATATTGAGAAGCTGAACAAATTTGGAGTATATATTTATAGCGAAAGAAAGTATGGAAAGAAGGACATCATTGTTCCAGTGAGTGACGATAAATCATTTCTCAGAGACTTCTACACAATGCTATGGGATAACCAGTTCAGAAATGACATTTATCTCGTAGTTGATCTTATGATTAAAGATAACCCATATAAAGGTGGTAATTTTAGGAACCTTAAGGCAAAAGAACCTGAAAGTATTATACATGAGTATAGTCCAATAGCTTCGGCTATTATCAAATGAAATAACTATGACGGCACTATGAGATATGGATCATATGAAGTTCCTTTCTTCCAATATCCCATAGATAGAGCAAATCCTAAAAATAATAAAGAACTCCCATATGTGATTAAAGTGACAGTTGGTCAACCAGTTAACCAAGCAGAAAATGTTCCTGGAGACCTATTCCATCCCCAGAAGAATCCACAATCCTTATTCAGAAAGCCAGATGATTTCAAGGATGAGACTGATTTCCCTCAAAGAAATCCAAATGCATATAACCCAGATCCATTCATTCCGAACCAAAAATCTCAAATCGAAAGCTCACTGTTTCAGCCAGATGATTCCTTAATTCTATATGTTGATGGGGCAAGATTCTTACCAGAAAATGTATCTTTCTCCAGAGTCATAATAACTCTATATACTCAAAAAGGAAATGAAGTAGGCAGACACATTGTTGGAAACGCTAATATCCAAAAATCAACAGGGCAGAACCCATTTTATGGGATCAGAGAGGAATTCAGTATAAGCACTCATCCAAATATGGATCCCACAATGGTTGCTGTCTTCAGAATAGAAACTTTTGATAGAGCAAATATGGAACAGAGAGTAGTTGGATTTTCTTTCTTCCCAATGTTTTTGGACAAAAACATAAAAAGTCCAGTGAAGAAACCAAAAGAAAAGAAATATGTTCTTAATAATGGAAACTATCAACTTCCTCTATTCTCAGAGAAGCCAGATCTAAAGCCTCCAATTAATGTTGAAGATCTTTCTAAAATAGAAAAACTGCCTTGTTCGACCTTGCTCATTCGGATAGACAAAGCTCCTAGAGGAGAAAATGGAAAACCCTTGAAGCTCAAAGGAATGAAAGAAGAGAAGAAATATGAACTAGGAGTAGTCACTATAGCTCCAAAATATTCTCAAGGCCTTTATAATACAACTTACTGAACTGTTGGAATCACAGAAGCAGAAATTTTAAAAGAAAAAGCAATGAGACCAGATCCTCCAATGGTCAATGTGATTAAAGCAACCAAGCAGATCCTTGGAATAAACGATAGAACAAGTATTCCAGAACTTAGAGTTGTGGTTGAAGAAAAATTTGATAGTTATAAGACTCTTGATTCTCTGAAGATGCTTGACTACGATTACTTCTCACAATACATTCCAAGAATCGGACTCAGATTTGGAATTGAAATGATGTTCAATACCGAGCCTAAACAATTATACCTTGCTGTTGTCAGCATCAATCCTCCAGCAAGCATTTATCAAAGATATCCCAGATTTGAGAAGGCAATTTTCTTCAGTGATATTGATTTTGATAGTCCATGGTCAGCCCAGCGTTTTAATGAACTCTTATTCTCTATGAAGAACATGCCATCTAATCCTAAAACTACACTTATTATTGATATCAAGGCTGTGAGATTTTTAAATAAAGGCGTTGCACAATTAGACAGTTATGCCTGGACATGAATCCCTATGTTCAATCAATTAGAGACTGATGATGATGAGGATACTGTCGAATTATATGTAAACACTGGCATTTATACACTTCCACTTTTTGAAGGCCCAGTTATTGCAGATTTCATTAACACAGTAGCAAAACAATTTAACCCTTACGATTATATACTCAGGCAGCTGGAATCAGAAGTCCCTCCTATCAGGATAAAGGATAATAATGGAGTCATTATAAAAATGGTAGATAATCAACGAGACGGCCACTTAAAAGAAAAAGTCGGTCCTAACATGTCATCCTTAAAGTACATCCCTGAAGACAAGAAAGAAGCTTATGTCTACGATTTCCAAGTGGAAAATGAACTTAAAAGAGCTCCTAAAATTTCAAAACTACTACCAAAAGGTAAAAAGGTAAAGAAAATGAAAGAAGAACTTATTGACATCCTAAAGTCAGAGTACTCAGGAGTTATGGAAGCAGGATTTTAATAAATTAAATATACTCTCTTATTCAAGCTCCCTAACATGTTTGGGGTTTTGGGGTTTTGGGGTTTTGGGGTTTTGGGG